GCAGTCTGAGGATGCAGTCTGAGGATGCAGTCTGAGGATGCAGTCTGAGGATTCAGAGAGACAGGACCGCCCGTTTGGTCTGAGCATTGGTAGATGTAAGAACCCCCCCGTGGCTGGCCACTCTGCTTCTCTGATCCTTTAACTTTCACCCCTTAATAGCTGATTCCAAGTTTCTATTATTAAAACCAATAGAATTCAGGCTACAATTTCCATTTACCTGCTTATAAATGTGTCCATGTCCAAGAAGTGTATTTCATAAAGCTTTATCAAAATGTTCAACGTACTAACAGCTTTAGGAAGATTAGAAAATCTCGAAGAAGTTCAATCTTTCCAACCAGAAGTTCAAAAGGGCAGGCTGTTTTAATTCACGATGCGGAATAATGAGCATTATTAAGATAAAATTTGAAAATTAGTCTGTTAAATTTGCACTTGTCTTTGTATAACTTGAACATGGCACGTGAAGAATCTTCCTGAGGATAGACAGTTCTTCAGTGTTCATGTCTTCACCATGATAGCCTCAATGCGGTACATAAGACAAGGACGGATACATTTGGGCTGCAATGTGACCCCATAATCTGCACAAAAAAAATCCTCAGTTATTTTTTTTCACTTCATGCAGCTTTCCCACTGGAATTCCCAATTTAAAATTTCATTATGATGATAATCTGGAGGCAGAAAAAAAATGCCATTTCAGAAAGACAGCTAGTTTTTTTTTTTGAACAAGAGAACTAGTTTTATTGTATCTTTCCTGACCATAAAAAGTATGTGCATTACAGTTCGCTGTATGTGAAGTAATCGCCAATAACGCTACATTGAAAAGTGTATGTGCCCCTTACCATTCTCATCTCTGTCACCAGCCGTCTGACAGCAGCACCTGAAGAGAAGAAGCGTTTCTATTGGTTCATGGTCATAGGGAGTAGGTACGACTGGCCTGGATCCTGGTCACGGGGGCTGGAACTTGAGGCAGCTTGTCACATCCCGGCTGCAAACAAGGAGCGGAAAGCACAGGCTGGATGCAGCCAGGTTATATATAACCTTCATACCCACCCTCAAAGGCCAGCTAAGTCTGGATCCACAACCTCCCTAAAGAGCTCCTCCTGATGCAGACCTGGTCCTCCAAACACAAGAGCCAGTGCAGGAGAGTTCACATCCAAAGCAGAACAGTTGCACACACTTGTTTTAAAAAGCGACAGAAAGGAATGCAGCAGAAAGTTCAGTTGCACCTCGGCTCACTCATGTCAAGGAGAGAAGAAAAGGACTATTCCCTTGTTCACAGTGCTTGACAGCAAAGAATGGCTGTGTGTTTTTATAACACACACACACAAAAACTTTACAAAACAAAACCTAAACATAGCAATCCAGAGCTAGTGTTAACTTGAACAGAGACTCAGTTGAAAAAAGCTTTAAAGAAACTATGAGAGCCAGGTGTGGTGGCGCACGCCTTTAATCCCAGCACTTGGGGAGACAGAGGCAGGAGGATCTCTATGAATTCAAGGCCAGCCTGGTCTACAGAGCGAGTTCCAGGACAGCCAGAGCTGTTACACACACACACACACACAGTCTCAAAACAAACAAACAAAAAGCAAAGCCGAAAAAAAAATACAAAACAAAAAAATAAACTGCAAAAAATAACTTCCAATTGAAACACACAGCTAATTATTTTAGTTGAAATTGTTTCTTAGTTTAAATTATTCAATTTATTTTTCTCAAAGGCCTCATTCTATATTCATGAAAGGAACCATTTATTTTCATTTAAAAAAGTATTCAGGCCTTAGATCAATTTTAGGGAGCAGAGCAGACAATTCAGGTCGTAAGTTACTTAATCTCTTTCCCCTTAGGCTTCTGTGTCTCTTGGAGCCTTTCTGAGGAATGGGCGCAGGTAAAATTGTTCTGCAGTGACCACGTGAATCCCTCACCAATTGGGGGATCAGATTTGTCATCATGATAAGACATGCTGTTTGCTGCCTGTCTTTACAATTGTCTTCTTGCTTATCATAGTGGGCAAAAAATTATCTGTCAGATTGTTTCTGATCCAAAGCTATATATTAGCTGTCTGGGGAAGTGGCTTTGCCAAAATGTGCTTTTCTATGTGTTATCCCAAATTATATTGACCATACGCTCTATTTGAAACAGTCGATTCTGCTCTAATCTGGTAATAGTTCTTGTTTTCTTAAAGTCATTGCTGGAGGGTTTCCAACAAGCCTTCAGACAACAGCTACACTGGTGGTATAATGTTGTTGTCTTTTCTCAAAGCAGTACACTTTGCGGTTTTTATTTTTTCTTTGTTCCTGTAACTTAAAAAAATACCAAACAACTAAGGTTCCAAATTTTTAAAAGAACTTGAGAGGAATATTATAAGATTGTATACCTCCGAGAAATGACTGTGTATCGGTGATAGCTGGTGGTCTT